GACACGTGTCACCAGCCTCGTCAGTTCTCGCTCTGACGGCACTTCCTATTTGCTCCCTGTGTCATCAGAGCAAACCTTTCTACTTAAATACTCAACTTTACTAACTGCTTCAATTTTTCAAATACTGATAATCTATCAGAAACACTTCCAACTCAAATATGTAGGTCTGACTCATTTCTCCCATGCACCACTGCAATACGGAATTCTCTTTTAAAATAGGATTAGTCTTTGGGCTACGATATTAGGGACATATGGAGACTTCCTCCCCTGACCCCTCTGTGGCTGTCACTTTGGGCCATCATTACAGGAGAAAGCTGTCTTCCTATGTTACAGGAAGACTGCCTGGGGAGCTGCAAGGGGCAGCTTAAGTCTTCAGGAAACAGCTCCACTGCCATACCAACACGAATATGCACAAGCCGTGGTTCATGATCACTTAGCACTAATTTACTGGTGGTGATGACTTACCCGTAGTCACTTGAAAGCATGGGAAATGTGGTATTTCAGCGAGCTAAAGGACAAGAAGTGATCTTACTTTGGCCAATACAAACTAACTATGTGATCTTACTAAATTCTGGATGACGTGAGGGAGAAAACCCTTGTACTCTTCTCACAAGTCCTCGTAGCACGGGGCCAGGTGCTGAGCACTGAATAATTGGACAAGTATGGTAAGGTCGACAAACAGCAAACCTCGTGAAAGCTGCTTAGTTGAGCTCATTAGGAATCATTGACTTTTTTCATTATCTTTCTTGGTAAAGAAAATAAAAATCTACATTTAGAACCGCTTTGATAACTGATAATTCTTCATCTGGTATTGTTCAGTAGCAAATGTAATTGTTTCACTTACAATATTGGGAAAACTTTCTAGACGGAAAGTTCTTCAAGCAAGCATAGAAATAGGGCCAAATTTAAATATGGGAACACATAAAAATACACTTATTCATTTGGTGCCCAAGAAAGAATGCTCTGACCAAGAACAACACACAAGGTTTTAGAAATATGTGATGGCAGAAAATCATAAGGCAGCTTTGTTTTATGACCACAAGTGGTTGTAAAGACATTTCTTATTATTTAAGTTATTTTCTATAAATCTAGTAATATTCTTAAATTATCTCTTATTGAAAGAATGGAAATAAATGCAATAGTTTTCAGAAATGTTTTGGCATTTCTTGAGTATGTACTTTGTAACTTAATCTCACAAAATTTTTAAACTCATACTGAAATATATAAAAATATGTTCCTTATGGTCAATATTAATTTCACAGTCGTTTTGTATTAGGTGCATAATAAACAGATTGCGTGGTCATCATTCCAGCTGTTAATACTAGCAATACCTAGTTTATAGCAAAAGTCTTTCTTTTGCTTTTTTTTTTTTAAGATTTATTTTTATTGGAAAGGCAGGTATACATAGAGGAGGAGAGACAGAGAGGAAGATCTTCCACCCCATTTTACTCCCCAAGGACCACAACAGCTGGAGCTGAGCCAATCCGAGGCCAGGAGCCCGGAGCTTCTTCCAGATTTCCCACATAGGTGCAGGGTCCCAAGACTATGAGCCATCCTCGACTGCTTTCCCAGGTCACAGCAGGGAGCTGGATAGGAAGCGGGGCATCTGGGATTAGAACTGGCACCCATATGGGATCCCAGCCCATGCAAGGTAAAGGCTTTAGCCACTAGCCTATCATGTCAGGCCCGCCTTACTTTTCCTTTTTAAGCATTTACTTACTTGAAATTCAGTGTGACTCACACACACACATACACACAAAGAGACAGAGAGATCTCCCAGCTGATGGTCTACACCCCAAGTATCAGCTACGGTCAGGACTAGGACAGACCAAAGCCAGGTGCTAGAAACTCCATCTGTCTCCTACAAGGGTGCAGGAATGCAAGTACTTGGGCCAGCACCTGCTGCCTCTAAGATACATCAGCAGGAAGCTGGTTCAGACTGATACCGCCGGGTCTTGACCCAGAGACTCTGATATGGCACATGGGGGCTCAAACTATGGCTACAAAGCGTACATCTTCACTTTATTTTAAATTTTAACCAAATCAAGGTGGGCATTTGAGGCAGTGGCTAAGACACCACTTGGGAAGCCTGCATTGCATCAGAAGGCTTGCACTGGAATCCCAGCTCTGGTCCAGACCACAGCTTCCCGTGGACGTGCATCCTGGGAAGGAGGAAGGGCTTGGATCCTTGCCTCTCCTGCACAACATCTAAACTGAGTTCTGCTTTCTTCATTTTTTAAAAGATTTATTTTTATTGCAAAGTCAGATATACAGAGAGGAAGATCTTCCATCCGATGATTCACTCCCCAAGCGACTGCAACAGCTGGTGCTGCGCCAATCCGAAGCCAGGAGCCAGGAACCTCCTCCAGGTCTTCCACATGGGTGCAGAGTCCCAAGGCTTTGGGCAGTCCTCGACTGGTTTCCCAGGCCACAAGCAGGGAGCTGGATGGAAAGTAGGGCTGCTAGGATTAGAACCGGTGCCCATATGGGATCCCGGCAGGTTCAAAGTGAGGGCTATAGCCATTAGGCCATGGCAGCGGGCCCATGCCTTCTTCATTTTTATTTGGCTCGTCCCTGGCTGTTGTTGGCATTTGGGAAATGAAGCAGTGGAAGCAGACGGATGTCTCCTTAAGTCTGTGCCTTCCAAAGCATCAAGGAATCAGTCATTTATTTTAAATTAGAAATTAGATTAAGGTTACTTAACTATGACGCCAAATTTTTGGAAGTTATTTCTTTCAAAGAGCTTTGTTCATGCCTAGGAAATTTTTGAAGAAAAAGTCCCGGGGAGACCTGCAGCTTTGTCCGCGTGCTGATCTGAGCCTGCCAGTGCAGCCGAGGTGGCACTCCCTGAGAAACACGCACACAGCTCACTCTGCAGGGCGACCAGGCATGAAGGGATTTTTATAAGCAACACCTTCCAGAGAAAGGGACAGCTATGAAACTGTTGTTAAAATTAAACAATTTCATTTGCTTGTAGGCACGAAGTGACGGAATGTGTCTGCTTTGGTTTTCTTCGTTGAACCTTCTGTGTGAACCCGCTGCGCTGGCCTTTCTTCTCTGAGTCTCACCCCGCATCTGTGATGCACCAGCCCATTCTGGCTGTCCTGGCGTGCTAGTGAGCAGAACTCGGTGTCTACACTCTATCAGTGATGCCACCCTTCTCCTACCCACCCACCCCCGGTCCAAACTGGCTTATCAGGAACACAACTTCAAGGGCAAATATAATATAAATTGCTTTGCAAAACTCTTGGCACAGTTTTGTTAGACATACAAGAACAAGTGTGAAAAAAAATTAGTGTAGTCAGGTTTGGGAGTAACAATTTTGAGTCTTCCCAAATCTTGTGTATTTTATGACTGAAAATCACGGCTGCAGCAGCATCATATTAATGAGGACATACCTGATACTGTCCATGTGCCACGTCCAATTCTCAGAAATTCCTGCAGATTAATGCAGACATGTCTCAGGAACTAAGTGATCTGAATGATTCAGGAAAACAAGACGCTTACAGACTGAGCAGGTTGGCCAATCTACCTAGCCAGTAAGCGGCAGTGTTGGGATAGGAATTGAGGACAAAACTTCTTTATTCTTTAGGGCACATGGTTATAGTTGCACAAAAATTCTTGCAGTTGATATCATGAACATATAATTGGAATCACTGTGATGGTGAACATTTGTTCAGAACAACTGTAAGTAACAGAAAGCTACAATATTTAATAGCATTTCTGTTGAAAAAAGTCTGAGTAGATTGCAAATATGGGATAATATTAAACGTTCAAAACTCACATGATTTAAATTTGATAGTTACATTTTTCATGTAAATTTAAATTACTAGGAAAATGTCCTAGATAATTAGAAATCTGTGGCAAAGTTTGCATTCAACTCCACTTGTCCAGAAGACGAAGCATTCCATGCTTCCAAGTTGATGATTCTTTAATCAAGCATCACTTGCATATTAATAATCCCACTCACACTCTGTCCATCCACTCCTGGGGTGGAGGAAGAGTGCTGGTGAGCCTGACCTTCCCTTTCCCTTGGTACGTAGGCAGCTGGAGAGAGGGAACTACACATGTAGCAGTGAGGAAGGTAGAACTACATCAACAAAATGCACTAGGAATGCCTTTGTTTGCTTTTTTTTTTTTTTTGCTTTTTCCTCAAAGAACACAATTTTCTTTTCTACTTCAAGAATGTATGTACAGTTTTAAAAATTGAAGAGAATGTATTATTAAACATAAAAATCTATAAGCTAAAACTGAAACAGATACACTGAGGTCTCCAAAGGAAAATCACAGGCATTTTCCAAAATATCACAGCTCACTCAGCAGAGGAATCAAACGCATCTCTGCACATCCTGAGACAAAACATATTCACCTGCTAAAATGATACAGTCATCCTTCCATTGCCTGCCATTCAAACAAGTTAGTAGTAAAAGTCTTATTTGTTGTCTCAGTGAGTAGTAACTTTTATTACTTTAGATTCTTTGCCAAATTATTTCTTGATGTGGCTTGGAGGCTATAGTAAAGGCCCAGGACAGGATACCAGAAAAATAACTCTGTTGGCACCATTTTACTATTGGCTCTGAAATGGGGAAAGAGGTGGAATTTTTGGAGCATCTGGGATAAGGATACACGTAGAAAGGAAGGTGGGCTTGTTTTTGGTAGCAGCTTTGCTCTCCTGGATATTTTGGGCCAACAGTGGAATGCCCAAGTGTCCACCTGTGAGTGCTTCTTATCTCATTCAACTTGCACTTCCCCATTCGTGGTTGACCAAGGGAAGAGCTCATCCACAGGCAGACACAGGGAGTGCAGGGCTCAGCTAGTGACCCCAGATAACTTCTGTGGAATCACAAAGACCAGAGTTGGGGCATGGAGGCGGCCTTCTGAGCCATGGAAGGGGTAGACATGGAGGTGTTGACACAGAGGGAGCGACAACCACACGAAGGACATGAGACCTTAGGGACATTCATTTCCAAGCTGTGAGATGACCAAGGAGGTAGCCTTACCCGGGCCTTCTGCTCCATTTCTAGCATTAATCTTTCATGCTGCTCAGCTATGGCCAGTGTCGCAGAATGCACCTTCTGATAGATCATTTCTCCTTCCCTTGTTTGAAAAGTGAACAGTCCTTCTCCTGTGTCACACATTCTGTGAGAACAGAGACAGGGAGAGAGTTGGGTCTTCACATATTCAAGTGTACAACAATTTTCCACGCTAAAGATCTGCCACCCTCGAGCTCCCTCCTCCTTGGCTTTCACAGGAAGTTAAAAAGCAGATTTACCTGTGACAAAACAGCCAACTCATGTTCAAATGGTGTGCAAGATTGGGAAGAGGATGGAAATATTTACAACAGTATCAAGAACAGGCCAAAGTGCCCCAAATGGTGTCTTAGTCACTGTGCCAGAAGCCTGCCCCGAAAATATATTTTAGTTACCATTTACTCAAACCAGCTTTAAAAAATAACTCACAGCCTTCAAAGTCATCCAATATCGGTCGATATCAATGCTCATATTGGGTCATCATTGCTATGCTGCTGGCTTTCAAGGTACATCATCAAAAGGTTTGCAGGTGATAATATTGACATATTCATGAGGCTACACTATTTCTTGCAGCACCAAAAGGATTTTGGATTCTTCCTTTGATTCTCAAAGGTGTTTTCAGCCGAAAAGAAATGTCTCAGGAGGCTCCAGACATTACAGAGGCTGCGGCTGGGATCCCGCAGGGCCTCATCGAGCCAGCACTTAGCTTCTGCGAGAGAGATCTTAATAAAATTCACACAGCGTGAAATGGAAAGTCTAGGGGAAAAATGAAGAGTTTTCACAAACTGAAACAAATGAGCTTTCTTTGTTGAGTCAGAAGAGAAAGGAAATGCAGCAGCAGTGAAATTGTGGGGAAGCAGTAAGGGCACTTCGGGGTGGGTTTTGTTCACTGTCACACAAACAGTTAGCCTTGGGAAATCAGATAAGAAAGGCCAACATCGCTTCATACTCAGTGCTGGTGAAGCCCCAGTGCCTGTCCATTTCTTGGGGCTTAATGCAGTTCAGGAAGACAGAATGAATGCCTACAGTAGGTATTATTTCTTCTCAGCTTCTGAAATAAAAGCCACTGCAAACTTTATTTTGTAATAAAAAATGCATTTAAAATATTAGCATGAAAAGCAAGGAAACTAATTAAAAGGAGTTCCTTCTTGAATGTTTGCATCCAAGCCATGCTTATGGTGCTGCCTTCAGCACAACAGGTAGGCTCGTGTTAGTGATTTTGTCAGGATGGGAGAAGAAATGTGGATCTCTGGTGTTCCTTGGAGGCGAGCAGGGGACAGTCCTTGTCTGTTTGGGCTGTCTGGTGGTAGAAGGCCCACATGAGGAGAAAGACAGGTGTAGACGGCTTGATTGCTCTGGAGATGTGGTCCACAGTCAGAACTGCACTTGCTATTCTGACAACTGAATCACTGGGCCACCTGTGGCTTATGTGCACACGAGGGGTGGCAAGTCACTGACCTAAGAATTCTCTCCAAGGGAACACTTTGAGGACATGCAGTAGAGGATGACACATGGAATCCAAATGTATAAAATGAAAACTCTCTTACGTGCAGCTGTTTTTAAAGATTATGCTTTACGAAATGAAAGGTTAGAAAGAGAAAAATAGGACAGAATAGGAAAATAATCACAGGAACCCTTCCCTTAATATGGAAAGTGCTAAAATGAAAGTGTGATTACTTCAAATCTGTGGACTTTCTTGTTAGCCACATGCATATTCTTCAATTGCATTTACTTTGTGAAAAAGTGCAAATATAGATATTTGTTTACTCTGACCCCAAACTAGAATTCTGTGGATATGAACAGATAGTGACGTGTTTATTGATATAAAATTAATGCTTTCTTGATGCTGACTACATTCACTCCGAGAATGCTTGAGTTCAAACCCTGCCAGAGTGACTGCTTCCGTTTCCCTCTAACACTGAGCACCGTGGGAGGGAGCAGGTGATGCCCCAGCAGCTGGCTCTCCCTCCCGCCTGGGAGACACGGGCAATGAGCTCCTGGATATCTATCCCCGCCCCTGCCACTCCTTTCTTCTTCCTTTCCTTCCATCCTCCCTTCCTCTGTGTGTGTATTTCTCTGTATTTCTACATATTTATATTTCTGTCTGCTTCTCATATAACTGAAATTAGTCAGTATTTAAAAAATAGAATAAAATGTTGAAGACTATATCTTTCTACGCTGAGGAACAGTCTAGAGACTCATGAAAGTTCTAGTTGGTAAGAGGAACTGACACACTTATTTCCTGTATTTTTTGACACTTTGATATAAGGGAAGTGTTCGTAGTACGGAGAGCACCAGTTTCAATCATTATTTCATGGCCTGTCACATAGATTTACCTCCTATGTTTCAAGTCAGCACTATGAGCCAGGAAGTATATTGGACAGGGGGATGAAAGGGAGTGGACAAGGCTTCTGGCTCATTGCCTCAAGGCTCTCCAGGTGACGGAGGCAGAAACCACAGCTCTGCTGCCACTGCCAAGCACGGAGCTTGAGAAAACTAGCAGAGGAATAAATGGGGAAACGTGCTTCATCAATTAGCTCCCAGTCTGTGAAATTAGAGCAACAGGACTTCGTCCTAGGTTTGCTTTATTTATTTATTTTTCAAATAAATAACCAAGTATCACATGTGATCATGGATGGGTGAATTCAGTTGAGCCCTAACCCTGCACATGGCAAGAAAAGCCTTTTGCAGAAAGCGCCCTGGCCTGCACCTGCAGCACCATCCTGGGCCTTCAGAACCTGCTGGCTGTCTCTGTGTGTGTGACGCCTTGGCCTGTGCTCTCTGGGTTTGTCCAGACAACTGATCCCAACCATGTGACTTAGGCTCCCAGTGAGTGGGAGACAGAAACACTGACGTCTGAGTCTTGGAGGTGATGTGTGCCTACAGAGGGTCCCCTGCGAGAGACCTTGAACACAGAGCAGGGCAGCTGCCTTGATGGACAGCACTTTGCAGGTGTTACCACTCACCACATGTCATCCGTGTTGCATACAGACAAGAGGTAGTGAGAAAGCATGCAGATCTCTGCCCTTGAAGAAAACTGAGCTTAAATCAGGTGCTCCACTATTCATGGCTCCAGTGCTTGCCTTCAAGGGGGAGAGTGTCCTGACCAACAGTGACCTGGAGTGTTTCAGCTGCAAAAAAACCCCTCACTAACCTGACTGGAGACCACTGGCCTCCTTTCCTGCATTTATGCCTCAAACTTCGTTCTTTGCGAAGGGATGACTTCAAAATCTCACTCATCTTCCCAGCACATAAGCAAAAGAAATGCTCCAAGTGGGAAGTCACGGAGACACTGCATTTTCACAAAGTGACAATGGACCCTCAACAATCCTGTATGTATCCACGTAAAATTCTGCTATAGATGAAATAGTTGACAGTTACCAGTACTGTCCATTTCACAGCTGTATAATTTTATTCTCATCTTAAGATTTGCAATACTGTGAGTGCTTCTCATAACCACATATTTATCCTTCATGTGCCTAGAAATTTTAAACTCTCAGCAATGGAGTAGAACTGGAGGAAGTTACTGAGCACAAACTGATGCTTCTATTTAGGAATTAAAATTTAATGTAAGGTGGACTATGTCAGCAAGTGGATTCTGGAGAGACTTCATTGTGCTTGGAATGGTGAGACAGGCAGCAATTCGGAACTGTTAAACTGTCAAAACCACCTGAACAGTGTCCTTGGAGCATGCCTCACGTCGGGGACCCTAGGATGGGTGGGATGCTGGGTGGGGCTTCTCCCTTTATTTCTCCCCTCTCACCCCTGATCTAGAAATAATAATAATAATAATGTGGAAACAATGGTCTTATCCACTTTCCTGTAGCCCTTGACCCTTTGTGCCCTAACCAACTATATAAAGATTATAAAAACAAAATAATAAGTAATTTAAAAAAAGAAAGCAAAAGGAATGTCAAACTAGGATACAAATTAAAAAGGGAGAAAAAGAAAGGCAGATAAGTAAATGTGTCTCTGTGAAGTTTTACTTCTTTTTGTTGAAGAAAGAAATAACATCAAAAAGCAAATTAAAATAGGCAAGATATTTGAAATGTATAGCATTGATCATGTCTAATGCATAAAATAAATATGATGTCAGCACTTTTAGTTCCTTTCTGAAAAGACTGCCTGAGCATTCAATGAGTTAATGTAAGTAAATAAAACCATTATTTACTAACTACCATTACCATCATTATCACCACTATTACTGAAGTCGTTTCGTGTGTACAATTTCTGGTTAAATGAAAGGGCAAGGTGAAAGTAACTCTTACAGTGAAAATAGCACACACAAGAAAGTATGTGGTACAAAGTTGTGCACTGGGGGAGGAAGACGTTCAAGGACTCAGCTCTCAAAGAACATGAAGATGGTGGTTTATACTATTTCCGGAGGGGAAGGGAAACGGGTAGGGCAAAGCAACAACTCTTCTGTAAGTCAGCCAATAAAATAATACAGCTGTGTTATTAACATGATTGAGCGAACTGAAATTAACACATTCCATTTTATAGGAAGGCTTCACAAGACTCTCACAGGGCTGTTGTGAAAATGTGCTGCCGGAACCAAAATTGTAAAATATTTAACTGAAACACGCACAGTATAGGCAGTAATGCATGAGCACACGCTTAACTTCTTCCAGTGCAGTGCAGACATCTGGTCTGATCTTCAGGAGGCTCATCTTGGCAGAGTTCTGCTTTGTAATGTGCTGAGATAATGACAATGGCAATTACAACAGCAGTGATACCAGCCAGCAATCACGGAGCACAGACTAACGCATCTAACGAGACGATGCAGGTGTATGCCCCACATCACTGAGCCTCAGAGCATCCTGCGAGGCACTGCTTCCCCCTGAACGTGCAGCATAGTCTGAAGTATGGTAAAGAACTTGAGCAAGGAGCTGACCCGTGACCTGACTCCAGCCACTGGGATTTGGGAGGATTAATTTATAATCGCTAAGCTAGACTGCACCTACCAAGATGAGAAGCAGAAAAACTAGCATAACTGTCAGCATGGTGCTTTCCGTAGTGGGAAGATAGCCTGATAGGTAACTTGGGGTAAAATTGTTTTGAAGGTTCTCTCTGCCCTTGCAGGTTTCCCCAGTGAAAATGCACACAGTG